GTGCCGGCTCCCCTTGCCCGCTGCCCGGCCGGCCCCGCGGGGGTCACTTATGCTCACCTCGACACCCAGCGCCTCCCGGGCTGCGCCGTGGTTATGGCTGCGCGCGTGTTTAAGGCTCTGGTTCTCTAGCTCCTTGACACGGTGCGTGTGAAAACTAGGAGGCGAACGCCTGGGTGTCTTACAGCCTGATGGCTTTATTCGACGTCAGTACCGCAGTTTTCCCACAGGTTTTTGAGTTTGGAGGGCTGAGAGACCTCGGAGCCTATAATAACGGTAGTTTTACCTCGTGCTGTGGGTTCAGCACGATGACTCGCGGCTCGCAAGTGCGCTTGGTAGCTTGCACGTCTATACTTACAGGCAAACTTTTTATCTCTTTCTTAGGACTGTGGTGCTTTAGTGAACTGTTTTTTGTGAAAGAGCCTCAGGACGTTACTGTCTCAAGGAAGGATCCAGTGGTTTTAGACTGCCAGGCCCGTGGTGAAGCTCCTATAACTATTACATGGCTGAAAAATGGAGGCAAAGTATCTGAAAATGAACGGATCTACACTTTATCCAATGGCTCGTTATATATCAGTGAGGTGGAAGGAAAGAAAGGAGAGCTGTCTGATGAAGGATTTTACCAGTGCTTAGCTCTGAACAAATATGGGGCCATTCTCAGTCAAAAAAGCCACCTCACACTAGCAAGTAAGTTCCAGCTCTTGTTTATTAACCTGCTCCTGAGTTTGTAAGAATTCCCTGAACAGCACACAACAACCTATCGTTTTGCTTGTCTACCTGAAAAGACAAATTACAAAAGCAAAGAACAAGTCAATTCTGCAGAACCTTTGTTTCTTTTTAAATGTGTAAGAATTGTGAGCAAAACTTGTGGTGACCCCTTTTCGAGTCCCTGATGTGGCAGGAGCGGCACAGCCACCTATGAGACCTCTTGAGCAGTGGTGCCTTGTGTGGGTGGCTCATGTGGGTCACTGGTCTCCAGAGCAGGTGGTGATGCAGAGCTGTACTGGCAACCTGCTAGAAAAGTCCCGGGTCTTGTTTCTCAAGTGCTCTTCAGGCAGCCTTACAAGGATTATCTACAAATCTGATAAAAAAAAAATAAATTATTCCTTGTTCAGGAGCTTGATGTTGTGTTGTGCCATCTTGGGGCAGGGCAGAATGATAGTAGAGATGGCTGTCTTTGGGAAGGGAAAGAGGGGAGAGGTTTTCCGGGCAACCGTGAGGGTTAAATTGCCAAGCCCTTGCTTTTCTGACACGTGTGTTCAGCCAAGCAGATGTGGGTGCTGTCCCTTTTGGAACTGCTTCAGGGTCCTCTGGAACCAACCGTAAGGGCCTGTTACGTGGTTCCACGAGGAAGTGAGACACATTTCTAGGGTGACTCCCTACTACTGGATGAATGATGAAGGAAATAGTTGTGTGTAAGTCTCTATGGCTTTAACAGTCTGACCCTGAGTGTGTGTTGCCCTCTGTTTTCCTAGCATCTTTAAACGTATTGAGCAAGAGATGTGTGTTAGGAATTGAATGTTATGCCTTTTTTCCATGCCAGTGCAGAGCTTTGCCAGTAGGCTGCTTCTGCAACACTTACCTTTTTTGCTTTCCAAAAGTACATGGAGTCATTTCAAAGAAAGTATAACACAGAGAGTACACAGTTTATGTAGTCTTCTCATGTTCCCTCTGTAACAGGACTTAGCTGATAAACTTAATCTGATAGGAAAAAGCTTCCTTTGACCTCTTCAACCCTGTTCTTAGTAGCAAGTGGCACAGACCTGTGGTGCTGATACCTCTATGGAAACTTGACATTAGTTGTAAATTGCAAGTTTTGCCAAATTCAGTCTGAAACTGGTTAATACAATTGGTACATTAGCTTACTTTAAAAAATATCTGAATGTTAACATTTGTTAGGTTTTTTTCTGTGTGCTTCTGACCTGATTGTAAAAACTGTCCATAAGATACCCCAGGAAGGTGTGAAATACCTAGTTCAGTGAGCTAGAGCATTGGGCAGTTGAAAACCAGCCTGGAAGCAGGTGGCTCCAACTAAGTGATGAGTTTTTCATGTGCTGTAAGAGGCTGATCTGTGAATTCTCAATTTCAAAAACCTGGCTGCTTATTACTTTGTATCATGGCATCTTACTCACATACAGGATTAATAGACTAAGCAGTTCTTGGATACTTTTGATAAAATTATGAAAAATGAAGTATTAATATTGTTGACATTTAAATTCACATCGTTAGCTTTCAGAGTGTCAGCACCATTAATAAACAGACTAAAGAAAACCTTTATTAAGAGGGTAGGAATTTTTTTGTTGTTAGTAATAAATGTAAAGCAAAGCAGTGGCTGATGGATTCTGTGTGTAGGACTGTGGAAAATTCAGGGCCATTTTAAATCTGAGACGTTGCAGGATGAGCTCTGTGCTCAGTATCAGAGAACTTCTGGAATAGTACAGAGCACTGTAGTAGTACAGCATAGTAATAAACTTGCAGTATCTGGTTTTATTCACACAGTACTAAACTTTTATAAATGTTTGTTTCTTGCATGCACGTTATTTCACCAGAAAGATGGTTTAATTTTGTGGGGGTTTTTTGATAATGAAAGATTTTCACCCAGGAAGAGTTGTGAACCAGTAGATTGCATGCTGTGGAGTGAGACTCTTGTTTTGCAGCCCCCCCTCTTTTTTTTTTTCTCCTTTCTCCTCCCCCCGCTAAGACTGTGATAAAAGCTTTCTTTTTCTTTGAATACTTGAAAGGTTTCCTATGGCTGGGGGGGGAGGAAAAGGAGGGGAGTGGGGGGATAAATATAATGTTTGTTTCTTGCATGCACGTTATTTCACCAGAAAGATGGTTTAATTTTGTGGGGGTTTTTTGATAATGAAAGATTTTCACCCAGGAAGAGTTGTGAACCAGTAGATTGCATGCTGTGGAGTGAGACTCTTGTTTTGCAGCCCCCCCTCTTTTTTTTTTCTCCTTTCTCCTCCCCCCGCTAAGACTGTGAGATAAAAGCTCTTTTTCTTTGAATACTTGAAAGGTTTCCTATGGCTGGTGGAGAAAACTGGAAGAGATAGTGGATCCATAATGATCACAGTAGGTGTTGTTGACTTAGCGATTAAGTGGTTAACTAGTGGCCAAACATTAAGCTATCCTATGCAGCAGTCTCTTCTTTTTAGTCATATTCCAATCTGACCGGTTTCAGAATGTCATCTTTACTGTAAAGCTGTGAAATAAGGCAGTAATTTTGAAGCCCGTAAAACATGCAAAATTAGTTTTATATCTCATTTTTACAGTGTTTCTGCCTACTGTCATGAGTTGATTGAACTTTGCAGACGTTTTAAGTGAAATAAATTAAAGTCTTGTGGGGGATTTTGTAGGCTTATAATTTTGTTTAGAAGCAGTTGTCCGTTGCTGCGAAGGCAAATTACCTTGTGGTCAGGGTACAGAAGGAACTATACATATTAAAGAGGTGGAGAATAGGCATTAAATGGGCATTCTTTCTTTGGAGGAAAAAAGAAAATGCTCTCTTCAGTCTCTGGTAACAGCAGGGTGCGAGGATGTTCTTTTACTTTGCCTGGTCAGAGCTTTTGCTAGTAAGCTTATCTTTTGCTTCAGAATTGTAATGTTTAGTGTTGTATTTGGAAATCAAAAACTTTAATCTGTCCAAGAGTTTAAGATTTGAACACACAAGGAGATCGGGTCTTGGTTTCTAAAGTTAGGAACTGGAAGCTGAAGGTTGCACGCCTGGCAAGAATTCCATTATTCATGTGCAAATTAAGAATTCACAGGGTTAAAAGGTTAGAAACTGGCCAGGATGAGGTTTACCCTTGTGATAAAGAGCAGATGACCCTCATTCATTGGCCAAAGCTTTCATGTAGCTCCTCTGCAAAGTTAGTGATTGCCATGAATTGTTCTTGAGGAATGCAGAAATTCAAATGTGAGCAGGCCTTTCCTTAAGTGTCACTATGGAGCCTTATCTCCCGAGCACATCAGAGTAGGTCTGCAGGGACAGGGTTCCTCCCCAGAGGCCCCAAGGCTTTGCTTTCCTGTTGTTCATCCATGCACAAAAGAATTTGACTAATTTAGGGCTTTTTTTCGGTGAGATCTCCCTACTTTTTTAAAGGAAACTGTGGGGCTGAGGTATCGCTTAGGTAAAAATAAATATTAGTTTCAGTCCATGCTTGTAGTTGCTTCCAAAGCAGGTTAATTGATGTGGGGGAGAGAGGAGGAGGTTCCTGTCTGGTTCTTTGTGAGGCAACATGTGGGGGTAAAATGCTAATAGTGAAGAGTATGATTTACTCGAAATTCAACTTACTGCTGCCACTGCTACTAAGAGAGGTCTCTTTTAACGGAATAGAAAAGGAATGTAGACCATGGAGAAAGCCTAAGCACTTTTGGTACAACTTTGAATCAGCCAAAAATAAACAAGCTGAGATTTTTGTATTCCTGCATTTTTAAATTATGACTGTTTAACCACAGTTAACTAAGAGTCTGTCTAAAAATAAAGCTAGACTTCCAATAAGATAGCATTAAGAAAAAATGGAGAAGGTGGATCATGTTCTGAAGCTGGTAACATGGCCTTTGGGCAGTGATTGGACAGGATGCTCATTGTTTATTTCCTTTTCACAAAAAGTGGAAATTGAAGTCTTAAGATGGTTGGATGGGATATATACAGCTGGGTAGGAGCATTCCTAGATAACCCTTTCTCCTCTTGTAACGTGGCTGAATTGATTTTAATGTTTGTGAATGTCAGGAAACGGAAGCCCAATTCTTCGTGTACAGGTTTCTACATTTCACGAGAGTGAAAGGTTATGCAAGCAGAAGGTTTCTGGGAGCATGCTCCTAGAGGGAAACTGTGTGCATGCTGCCCTGCAGTTTGTGAACCGCTGGGCCTTTTACACGTAGCAGGCTATACTTTGTGGAGAGTTTGTAATTTTGCTTACCTGCTGTGGCAGTGATGTGACTTCCGGTGCCACTGTTGTGCCAATAATTGGCAATGTTTATGTTTTGATATCCTAATAATATCTTTTGCTCTGCTTTTAAGTATTTGTACTTAAGAGTGCATTCAGCTGAGCCTTATTCTGTACTGTGACAATCATGTTTTCTTAGCAGTTCCAGCTGTTTGTTCCCACTTTTGCATTGTGCCCTTCCTTGTGTGGGCACAGCTGCATGTGTGGCTAACTGAACAGGGAACTGATCTGGGTTAAAATAATAGAATTAAAACAAAAGATGGTTTTTAACCCAGATGAGTTCCCTGATGCGGTTTGTCATGGAGCCACTCACAGTGATTGTGCTGGCGTAACTGAGAGGAATGATGTGGAGGTAGAAAGGCTTAGTGGGACAGAGGAAGGCTACTGAAACTAGTCTAAGGACTGTTGCAAAAATAAGTGTTCATCGAACTACGGCCTTTATGGAATGTGTGTAGGCAAAAATTTTGCCCTCTGCTAGTATTTTTTTTTAATTAATTTTAGTATCTTGCCTTAAATGAAGGGATTAATAGCTGTGATCTAACAATATAGTTCTCATTTTGTGTGGAATCTGTCATTTTCGGTACCTTCCAAATGCATATAGAGCTCAAAGGTATGTTTAATTATTTTAAATAGTAATGGAGAGAGGAACAAATTCTGAGATGGAAGGGTGGGGTTGGAGGGCAGAAGTGGTTTTTGACTAAGGTGGAAGTGAAATGGCAAATGGCTGTTGTAGAC